ATGTGGGCGTATAAAAATCGACATTTATAAAAAAGGAAATAGTGTTTCCTCCTTCCTTTTTTGTAAGTTTGTCTAGGAGTAAGTTAGAATAGCCTCTACAGACCCAGAACATTTAACTTTGTTGTTTTCATTGAAATTTTGACTGAGTGGTAATTAGAGGCCAATTAAGACAATCCCAGCTTCGTTTTTGTTTTTTATCATCTGGAACCCTTATATGGGATCCCACATATGTGGACATTGGGTCTTCGTTAGTACATTTTACCAATTATTGCACGAATAGTTAATGTAAAGATTGAAGTCAAATCTATTCAGTATTGGTACTATAATTCATTTTATTTTATATTTATAATTCATTTTATGTTGTAACTACATAATCACAATTTTTTAACATAATATTTCATAAAATTAAAAATTAAAATATATATTATCTGTTAACGTATAATAAAAAAACATGCAACAACTTTGGCACTTAAATAACAAGTTATTCTCGGTTTGGTTTTGAATGAGGTTAACACTTGTGGGATACTGTCATGTATGAAACATTCGAAAGCAATTGCGATCGCTTTGGACACAGAGAAAAAGGTTACACCTAACACACCGAACACGAGTTTTGCTTGTGCATCCAGGATAACGGAATCTTCACGAGATGCAGCCAGTAGTTGTTCTGCAAGACAAAGTTTGAATTCCAAAAATTCAAGTTTGTGTTTTCCTAAGAGACTGTTCTTCAGTTTATCATTTCGATATGCTATCCAACAATTAATCATCACAACAGCAATGAAATGAAAAATTGTTCTGATCGTCCACTTACGTGATTTCGCTGCTAATCGATAAAACGAAATCATCCTATCATGAAGATCGACCCCGCCCATTTTATCATTGTAAGATTTTACGATAGCAGGTCGATTAACCGTGATATACTTTCCATCCTTTTTGGATGTCTTCTGGAATGGCGCCATAAGCAGAGGAAGCAAATAATACAGGTGTATTGTCAAACCAATTCACAATGACTCATCAGACCTGACATCCTGAATATGTGAGCCCCTAACACCTTTCACCTTATCTGGAATATGGGCGGATTTAGGTATGTATCTCTTCATAACTGTGCCAGTTGCTGATATACCTTTGTTAGACAGGGCATCTAACAACGCTGGTGAGGTGAAATACCTATCGAAATATAGCAAATTGCCGGGAACCAATGATTCAGACAATAGCAACACAACAAGACCACCGATTCCTAATTTTGTGACTTTGTCGTTTTCTGAGCCAGGAAGAGCATCTTTTCCCTGGGATATGTCAAAATCAAGGACAGTCCCCCCTGGTGATGCCAGAACAAAATTCTTCAAACCAGTAGGATTAGGCTTACCCCTGACATATTGACGAACTATGGACCGGCCGGTAAATGGTATCATTTGCTCGTATATACAAACATGTTGCGGTCTGGGAATCTTCAGGCAAACTGACCGTATGTGCTCGAGGAATGGTCGTACTTTCCATAATTTGTCAGCCCGTTTTGAACTGTCGTCAACATCGCTATCTTTCACGACCTTGACACTATTTCGAATTTTGAAATATCGGTCTCGTGGCATAGCATTCACTATGGCTGGGACGGCAGTTCTCTGCCTCCAATACATACGGATTCTCGGCATCTTTAAAGCACCCATCAGAATACTGATACCGGTAAATTTTTTAAGTTCAAGCTGATAAGTGTTAAGTTCTTTGCCGGAATTTTGAACATACATAACATTCGTACAATGAGCCATATTTGCGAAAACATTTTCATCGATGCACTGTTCAAAATAATCAATTGGTGTCAAATTATCATTATGAACTTCGCCCTCTACATAAGGTGCCAAATTCGGTTTAAATTCATCTGTATGTGTCCATGGTTGTCGCAATATTTCTGTATTATTCACACCCTCATCATCGTCTGAGTTATTTATTCCACTATCTTCGTCTTCAGACTGATTATCGATAGTGTCAACTGGATCTTCGAGATAGTCTGGATCATTATCATCTGACAGCTCCAAATCAGAATCATTATCATCTAGTAAGGTCAAAATATCATCCAGGGCAAATCGTTTACACTCTACAATGAAAAAATGGGTCGGGTCATATGGTGCACTTTTATATGACGAAGACCTAATGTCCACATGTGGACATTTGGATAAATGATCTTGAATTTTTTTTCAATTTTGTTTATTTTGAAACACTTGTTATATACAGATTGTCTGGGTAATATTGCTATGAAAAAACACTAATTGGGTATAATTCATTTTGCTTTAATTGATCAGAATCAAAACTTACCTCGACTAGACTTGACCTTCTGAGAACATGTGGCTTTGGCCATCTTGTCAGGAGTCACATGACCACATGAAGGGGAGGTAACTCGCAATCCTTATGTTGCCTGATACAGTAAATCATATGAAATGATGTTTAAGAGGTAAATTAACGAATAAAATGATTCTCCGAGGAAAGACTACGCAATATTTGAAAAACTATGAATGTCCACATATGTGGACATAGGGTCTGTAGAGGGTATGGGAATAGCAGATGAAATTCATAAAGGATTTAGAAACTTAACTAATTAATGGGAGGTAACACTATTGTTTGTTTACTTCAAAGTAAAATACCAACCAGTTTATACACGGTTAGTTTTATTGATTTATTATTGATTTAATAATTACCTTCAACGCCCGGTAACAATCAGTCGTCTAAACTATTATTGATTGGATATACGTCACTAAGTAACAGATGGTTATATTAACATATAACATTCCGCCCATGTCACGTCAGCACAGACAGTCTAGACTCTCAACTGTTAGTACTGTCTCAATTTTTGTTACGCTGGAAGATTAAGAATTTAATCATACAACATCAAGGTATGTTCTTTGTTTGATTTAATCATAAGACTAGAGGGTGGAATTAAGATGATATGTTTTTTTCAAAATATCAATTTTATTCTATTTCAGACACAAGTTTAATAGATGTCAACATTTCATATCACGAAGAATATTTAAACCATCGCAGGCAGTGGGGGATACTACCAAACTTTGTGACAAATATCCGAGGATTCAAAATTGTTGATACAGATTTCGAAAATAGAACAAGTGCCGAAGAACAAGCGTTTTGGAAAAGGATAAAATATGTGACGTATATCTACCGATTCTACTAGGAGTGATCATGACACTTGACCCTTGAACTATGACTGGTAATAGTGTAAGAGGGGAGAAAACTCTGAAGAATATCTACCGATTCTACTAGGAGTGGTCGTGACACTTGACCCTTGAACTATGACTGGTAATAGTGTAAGAGGGGTGAAAACTCTGAAGTATATCTAGTAGAAGTGTATATCAATGTAATTGTTTGTTTTAAATTTAAATTGGTTTCAAGTAATAGGCTAAAACCTATCTTTAAAAATGGCAGAAAAAAATTACAGATTAGATCCGATCTTTCATTTATATGATCCAATTCGTTATTCGTTTAATAAGAAAAAAAAAAGAGGATTACATTATCATATCACCAACCGTTGGCTCTAGGTCTCAACTAAATGATGGGGGTAGGGTCACTTTCGAGATTAATTCATTATCGAATTGGTTGCTTCTGTTTGATGCCTATTTCAGATGCGATTTCAAAATCAAAGACGGAACTCCCAATCAGAATCGTGTACCACAAACTAATACAACGTTAGAAAACAACTTCTTTCCATCTTTATTTACTGATATGGTTTTGGAAGCTGGTTCAAATCCTATAGAAACCATCAAACACCCTGGGGAATTTGACACAATGTTGAAAACAGTTCTATATCCCAAAAACTACGATTCAGTCTCAGGCTGGATACCCGATATTGGCAATGGAAATGTTTTAATAGAACCAGTACGAAATCTTGCAAATCATGCCGATTTAGCTAGGGTGAGAGTTGTTGCTCGAAACACAATAGAAAGAGTAGCACGAGCAGCTAATCATAGATTCGAAAAACGAGTAGTTCAGTACAATAATGTGGTTGAGATTCGAAAAACGAGTACTTCAGTATAATAATGTTGTTGAGAATGATAGGTGGGGTAATTACGTAAACTGGAAATTATATCCTTTATTCGGTCTGTTGGAACACAGAAAGATTTCCATAGGGTTACCATATAAAATTCATCTACAAAGAGAAATCAACGATGATAAGATATTCTTTGGAGAGAATGCTTCAAATGCAAAATTAGAAATAACGAATCTCCAACTTTACATACCCGTAATAACACCATCAATTGAAGTAGAAACGAGAATATTCAACTCATTAACTAAAGATATTGAAACAGTTTTTCTTCGTCGCAATACAATAGGCAGCATAACTTTAACTGGAGAATCCAATACATGGCCAATCACTAATACCCCTAAACCAGCAAGATATTTAATGGTTGGTTTCAAGAACTTACCAGATTCTCAAACGAATAACAATAATGTCTTCAAAGTGGCAATGAACCAAAATCAAGATCCTTTAATCCGTAAAGTTCAAGTAAGATTAAACAACGATAATTATCCCAACCAACGTTTAACAATTAATCCATCCACGAAGGATTATAATGAATTGTATAGAAACTATAAAAATATGTGTGAATTATTTGGAAATTCACCTCAGTTTGAATATGTAGATTTTGCATTTAATCATCCAATCTTCTGTTTTGATCTATCAGCTCATCAAGAAGATCTGTTAAAAAAAAGGAGTAAACATAAATATTCATATTGAAAAAACACGAGGATATGTAACCGGGTATTGTTTATTATTGGAAGAAGCAAAACATTTAATTAAAATATCCGACAGACGGATGATTCGTATAGAATAATCAATTAAATTACCCTCTTAAAGATGAAACCAGAAATTTTAGTAAAAACAATAATAGATGCTATCGATACGGAATCACCAACTACAACAACCTACAATGGTAGAAGGATTAAAATATCTAAAAAAAATTATCGATAGATATAACCATTGTAAAGTTAGAGATGTTATAGATTTGGAAAGAATTGACAAGAGTGCAAAGGAAGGTGGATTTTTACCTTTCCTACCTTTGATATTTGCTGGTCTGGCCGCGGTTGGTGCAGCAACTGGTTGGATATCTGCCGCAGTCAAAGCAGCCAACGCCAATAAAGCAGCTGAGGCTGAAAAAAGTGAAAAACGTAGACATAATATGGAAATGGAAAAAAATAGCTCAAGGTTCGGGAGTAGCAGATATAGTAGGGACAGTTAAAGAATTTGGAAATCGATTTAGTGAAGAAACCTAAAAAACTGTTAAAGAGGGATTGAGCAATCTAATAGATAAAATCGACACAGGAGA